GTCTCCAGCAACCGCCATTTCAGCTTCCAAAAAGGTCAATCTTAAAACCCTAGACAACCCAGATTCAGTTCTCAATTTCCTCATCAACCATGGATTCAGCAAAACCCAGGTCACATCTGTCATCAGAAAACACCCACAACTTCTCTTATGGGATCCCAAGAAAAAGCTTTTGTCCAAATTCGACTTCTTTTACTCCACCGGCATTTCCAGCGCTGAGCTCGCCATATTAGTGTCCAATTACCCACTTATACTGACACGAAGCTTGGCGAACCATATCATCCCATCTTTCACTTTGTTCATCAATTTATTTGATTCACATCATAAGTTTATCACCGCCTTTAAACGATTTCCTAGTGTTGTAGAGAACTATCGCAGTGCTAATACGTTCTCCAACATTGAAATTTTGAGGCAACATGGCGTGTCAGATTCGAATATTGTGTTCTTACTTGCTTGTTGGAAGCATTGATTGTTCTCACAATCAATGCAAAGACACAATAGCATGGGAAATGCAACAATGCTTCCAACAAGTACTTGCCAATCAACATAAGAATGTTACAAAATTGGATTTTGAAGGAAAATTTTTTTGCTTTCCTAAATGGTTATTGAATTTTGTTCATAAAATATACTATTATAGAAAGGTTTGGAACCAAAACAAAGGGAAAATATATATATATATATATACACACAAAATAAAAATTGAAGCATGTGAAGTTATGAATTAAGATATAACAGAAGTTCTAGATGGAATAAAGATTTCTAAAAGCCTCCATTCATTATCTTTGCCCGCATAAATCTTTGCAAATATTTATAAGTAAAAAAGTCATTTCTACAAGGGTACATACCATTACAGAAATGAAGATGACAAATTGGGAATTTGAGAATTTGTGAGCCTGAAGTTTCACAAATATTTGGTACTCTTTGCAAACCCAAAGTTTCGTAAAATTTGTTGGCCTGAAGTCCAAATGAATCTGAAATTCTTTGACCTGAAGTCATTTACACGGAGTACCTTTACAAACCTGAAGTTTTGTAAAACGTAGAAATATAAATTATATATGCCTTTTAGTGTAAACATATTTTGTCTTTTTGCTATTGTTTTGTTTACTGAAAGCACATAATTAACTTGTTGACATTATATAATATACTGACAAATCATACTATAGTGACTGAAGTATTTTTATAATCTCAAATTGATTATTCTTTTTGTGAAATAATTCTAACTATGTTATTTTATCATTTATAGTTCACAATGTCAAATCTTACCAAGCTTGAATTTGTGGCACTTGACATCTCGGGCAAAAACTACTTATCATGGACCCTTGATGTCGAGATTCACTTGGAGGCCATGAATCTCGGAGAAACAATTAAGGAAAACAATAATGTGTCCCTGCAGGACCGCGCAAAATCCATGATCTTTCTTCGCCATCACCTCCATGAGGAACTAAAAGTAGAGTACCTCACAGTTAAGGATCCACTTACACTGTGGAAAAATCTGAAAGAACGATATGAGCATCAGAAAACTGTGATCCTTCCGAAAGCTCGCTATGACTGGATCCACCTGCGATTGCAGGATTTTAAAAGTGTAAGTGAGTACAATTCAGCCTTGTTTAAAATCAACTCACAATTGAAATTATGCGGAGAAAAAAATTACTGATGATGATATGTTGGAAAAAACATACTCCACATTTCATACCTCAAATGTGCTCCCTCAGCAGCAATATAGAGAACGCAGATTTACCAAATATTCTGAGCTGATTTATTATTTGTTGGTGGCTAAACATAATAATGAGCTTTTGATGCAAAACCACCAGTCCCGTCCCACTGGATCTGTACCATTCCCAGAAGCGAATGTGTCATCATTTCACGATTAGGGACATAGACGTGGACGCGGACGTCGTGGTGGTTGCAATAGAAATAATTATAATAATCGTGGTGGTCATAATTCCTCATTGGTTCCCAAAAGGAACTCCACACCGTCCTACCAGAAGTGGAATTCAAATGCGACCAAGCAGGCAAAAGAAAAAGCTTTGCAGAACAAAGCTCCTGAGATATATGATGACAAGCCTTGCTATAAATGTGGAATAAAAGGTCATTGGTCGCGTACCTGTCGTGCGCCCAAACATCAAGTTGATCTTTACCGTGCCTCAATGAATGATAAGGGAAAAGGAAAAGAAATTGAAATGAATTTTGTGGATGACGACTTAACAACTGATATTACTCACTTTGATGTTTCTGACTTCTTTGCTGATACTAGTGGTAGTAGTGATCATTTGATTGGTGATTGAAATGTCCATACCAATTAATGTGTCCTTCTCTAGCATGTTATCCCTTGTCTGTTTTAGCTTATCTGTATCAATATGTCTCTATCTAGGTTGTACTAGTATGTTTTTATTTTGGCTATCTTGCATATAAATCTAGTTTGTATTTCAAGTTTGAAGTAATGAAATATATATTTTGTGTGTATAAAGAAACATGGATCTGACTAAGGCATTGACTGTACCCAAGATAAATGGTGAACATATATGTCTGGCAGACAGTGCAACAACACACACTATACTCCAAGATAGAAAATATTTTTCAAGTATAACATTAGTTGAAGCTCGTGTCAATACAATATCAGGTCCAGCAGACCTAATTGAAGGCTTCGGAAGAGCTATCATTGTGTTACCATGTGGAACACAATTGAATATTAATGATGCTCTATACTCTACAAAATCTAAAAGAAATTTATTAAGCTTTAAAGATATACGTCTCAACGGTTATCATATTGAGACTATAAATGAAGGGGGTATTGAATATCTCTGTATTACATACCAGAAGCATGTATTAGAAAAACTCCCTGCTTTATCTTCTGGGTTATATTATACAAATATAAGAGTAATTGAGTCACATGCAGTGACGTACCAGAAGTGCTCCGATCCAAATATTTTTATACTTTAGCATGATCGCCTTGGTCATCCTGGGTCAACAATAATGCGCCGAATCATTGAAAATTCACATGATCATCCACTAAAGAACCAGAAGATTCTTTTAGCAAATGATTATCCTTGTACTGCTTGTTCACATGGTAAATTAATAGTCAGACCATCACCTTCCAAGGTTGTTGTTGAATGCCCACCATTTTTACAACGAATTCAAGGGGATATATGTGGACCAATTCATCCAGCGTGTGGACCATTTTGGTATTTTATGGTCTTAATTGATGCATCAACATGGTGGTCACACGTAAGTTTACTTTCAACTTGTAATATTGCATTTGCTCGACTCCTTGCTCAAATAATCCGATTACGAGTACAATTTCTAGATTATCCAATCAAGACTATTCGTCTTGATAATGCCGGAGAATTCACATCTCAATCATTTGAGGACTATTGCATGTCAATTGGCATCCTTATTAAACATCCTGTTGCACACACTCACACCCAAAATGGTCTTGCAGAATCTTTTATCAAACGTCTTTAGTTAATAGCTAAACTAAACTACTTGTGGACATACGATATCTATTACTTATAAGAACTAAACTACCTGTTTCTGCTTGGGGACATACGATATTACATGCAGCATCACTTGTTCGCATTAGACCAACTGCATATCATAGTTTTTCACCACTACAACTTGTGATGGGTCAACAACCAAGTATCTCTCACTTACGAGTTTTTGGTTGCGCTGTATATGTTCCTATTGCACTCCTACAACGCACCAAAATGGGTCCTCAACGACGACTTGGTATTTATGTAGGTTTTGATTCTTTATCTATTATTAGATATCTTGAACATATGACAGGTGATGTGTTTATGGCACGGTTTGCTGACTGTCATTTCGATGAGACTGTTTTCCATCCATTAGGGGGAAAAAAGAAAAAACCAGAAGAGCATCGATTTATTAATTGGAATGTCTCGACTTTATCTCATTTCGATTCTCGCACAAACCAATGTGAACTAGAAGTTCAAAGGATCATTGATTTGCAAAGTATTGCAAATCAATTACCCGATGTAGTCACTGACACAAAGAAAGTGATGAAATCACATATACCAGCTGTAAACATTCCAGTAAGAATTGATGTCCCTGTAGGACAGTCTGTCAGTGTTGTTGCAAATGCATCTAAGACACGCCAGAAGCGTGGTAGACCAGTCGGTGCAAAAGACACTATTCCCCGGAAGAGGAAAGTACAAGATAAATCAAATAAAGAAATTGGCGCTCTTGGAGAGGTCACACTTGCAAAAGGAATTAGCGCTCCTGAAGAGGTCACACTTGTAAAAGGAACAACAAAAATGATTAATCAATCTAAATTTTATAAACAAGTAGCCCCGAAAGTGGCACAAGCCCCTGAAGAGGCACTGGTATTTGAAAATAATGAGATCTCAATAAACTATAGAGAATTGTGGGATAGAAATACAGTTATTATTAACGATATATTCTCCTTTGCAATTGCTCTTGATATTGCAGGTGCTAATGAAGATCCTGAACCTTAAAACATCGAAGAATGTTGATGTAGAAATGATTGGCCAAAATGGAAAGAAGCAATACAGGCAGAGCTAAACTCATTGGCAAAACGTGAAGTATTTGGACCTGTAGTCCAGACACCTGAAGATGTCATGCCTGTAGGGTACAAATGGGTATTTGTAAGAAAATATAATGAGAAAAATGAAATTGTAAGATACAAAGCCTGACTTGTAACCCAAGGTTTCTCGCAGAGACCTGGTATTGATTATGAAGAGACATACTCTCCTGTGATGGATGCAATCACATTTCGCTTCTTGATCAGTTTGACAGTCTCAGAAGGACTGGATATGCGTCTGATGGACATGGTTACAGCTTATTTATATGGATCACTAGATAGTGATATATATATTTATATATATATATATATATATATATATATATATATATATATGAAAATCCCTGAAGGATTTAAAATGCCTGAAGCAAATAGCTTGAAACCACGTACCATGTATTCCATCAAGTTACAACGATCCTTGTACGGATTGAAATAATCCTGATGCATGTGGTACAATCGACTCAGCGAGTATTTACTCAAAGAAGGATATGTGAATAATCAAGTTTGTCCATGCATTTTCATCAAGAAATCAAAATCTGGATTTGCCATTATAGCTGTATATGTTGATGATCTAAATCTTGTGGGAACTCCTGAAGAGTTCACCACGACTGCTAATTATTTAAAGAAAGAATTCGAAATGAAAGATCTTGGTAGAACAAAATTTTGTCTCAGCCCGCAGATCGAACATTTACCAAGTGGAATTCTTTTCTATCAGTCAACATACACCGAAAAAGTCCTGAAGCGCTTTTATATGGATAAAGCTCATCCCTTGAGTTCTCCAATGATTGTCTGATCACTCAATGTGAAGAAAGATCATTTTCGTCCTTTGGAAGAAGACGAAGAAGTTCTTGGTCCTGAAGTACCATATCTTAGTGCAATCGGTGCTTTAATGTACCTTGCAAATTGAACCAGACCTGATATAGCATTTGCAGTCAACTTACTAGCACGGTATAATTCTGCACCAACTCGAAGACATTGGAATGGAGTCAAACACATTATGCGTTACCTTCGGGGAATGACTGATATGAGATTGTTTTATTCAAGACAATTAAAGCCCCAGTTGATCGAATATGCAGATGCAGGTTATCTTTCTGACCCTCACACAGCCCGATCACAAACAGGGTACTTGTTTACTTGTGGTGGTACTGCTATATCATGGTGATCTATGAAACAGACCATGACTGCAACTTCCTCAAATCACTCTGAGATACTCGCAATTCATAAAGCAGGTAGAGAGTGTGTTTGGTTGAGATTTGTTATACAACATATTCGAGAATCATGTGGACTCTCCTCAATCAAAGATAGTCCAACAATATTATATGAAGATAATACAACATGTATTGCACAGGTAAGAGGAGGATACATAAAAAGTGACAGAACCAAGTACATTTCACCAAAATTCTTTTCCACACACGAGCTCCAGAAGAGCCGTGATATCGATATTTGGCAGATACGCTCTAGTGATAATCTAGCAGATTTATTCACTAAAGCGCTTCCAACTACAACATTTAAGAAGTTAGTGGACAATATTGGAATGCGTCAACTAAAGAATCTTCAGGGTTGAACTAATAAGGGGGAGCAATTGATCAAAGAGGTATTAGCATACTGTACTCGTTTTCCTTCGTCCAGGTTTTATCCCACTGGGTTTTCCTGGCAAGGTTTTAATGAGGCAGTTTTAATCTATGCAATACCATTTTCAGATACACAAGAATATTGTACTCTTTTCCTTCACTAGGGTTTTGTCCCACTGGGTTTTTCTTAGTAAGGTTTTAAAGAGGCATATTCTTAGTGTAGTGCAGTGGACCCCAAGGGGGAGTGTTATATATATTGATGTCCACAGGAAATGATGATGGAAGACTTTTTGAAATAACTTCCAAAGTAAGCTATATACATTGGCGTGAGGAGAAAGGCTGCACTTGGAACTTACACTGAAAGCCTCTGTTTTGTGCCTATAAATACTCATGTAACTATTGTTCTGAGATACACTTCACGAGTATATCAATGAAAGTTTCCATTACTATCTCATCTATTTCTCTCTAAATATTACTCTATATATACACATATATTCATCACAGTACCTTTAAAATTTATTTTGTCTCCCAACTCCCCATCAAACTTTTTTTATCCAAAATAACTTTCCGCGGAAATTAATACAAAAGATTGCTAAAGAAGCCCCAATAGAGAGAACTCCAGCCATTTCTACAAACATACATATTCCAAGATGATTCTTTAATTAATTCCATGATTAATATGAAATTGACTAAAATGATTATAGAGAATCAGATACTACAGATTGCATTTGAAAATAGACCACTATGTTAGTGACATTTGGCCAACTCAGTTGTCATTTTGGAACCAAATAATATTGGTGACAATATCTTTCAAAGCTAATCTTTAGAGTGAGTAGAAGCCTAAAATTAATATATAAAAACACTTATTATAATACACCAAAATACATACCTAGCTATATATTTTATATATACAGAGAGATGAGAAATTGGTACCTGAAACAGAAAGATAAGTGTCCATCATTCTTAGCCGATCATCATTGTCATACAAGCTTTGCTGTTAAGATAAAAACATCATCACTTGAGGTTTCCAACAACGGCGAAATGGAAAAATGCAACATTAACATCAGTTATGTTATTGATCCGCATTTATTAAATTTCGATAAAAAAAAAAAAATAGAATTAAAAAAAAAAAAAAAAAGTATGCTATGTATATACAATCTTGTAAAACTCCAGCTGACCGCAATAAAATAGATATTGTATAGCAGAGAATTACAACCAAATCCAAATGGTGAATACTAAAATCACAAATATACCAGCTTTGTGTTCAATGTATACATGTATTCGTGTATGAGGACACCAAAATGACCTGGGCTTGGTATCATCCGTATTGCAAAGGACAGGTCGGGTATGGATAGATAGGATGGAGCAAGTTCACGTTGGATGGGCCCAGATCCATAAAGTTGTTGCAGAAGCCCATGTTAAAATGAGAGAAGTTGAGTCCAGGCAAAGAGAGCAGATAAGGCCGAGGCCAGAGGAGGTTGTAACCGTCTATAAATAAGGGAGATCGAGAGGGAAAAGAGGTTAAAAAAAAGATTGGGAGTGAAAATTTTCTCTTTCTGAAATTGGGGGAAATTCTTTGTACTTTCAATTGGCGCCGTCTATGGGAAGAACAGGAAGGATTCATTATTGTTGTTCCAGATCGATTCGATTCAAAGCACTCTGCGAGGAAGACGATTAATCTACGAAAGCTGAATCAACATTGGCAATAATACGATTTGTCTCGATGAGTCCAGGCTTCGGTTGATTTCGCGAAGTTAGCGTCTGATCCAAGCAGATCAGATCTGTACTTGATCCGGCGAACTGCACAATTGCGATCTGTTACGATTACTGACTCCGGCCAGTAGCGGACTGAATTCAGCAAGTGTGAGTTCAGATCTGGTGTATGTGCGTTAGCGGAACTCCAATCTGATCAAGAAATCTGCAGTTAATGACTTTGCTCCGATTTGGAATGATGATCGAAGAGGCGAACTCAAATCCTTGAAGAACGACCAGCAGACGAAGCTCGATGAGCTGATGAACATGATCGACGCTTTGAGGAAAGAAAATGCAGAGCTACGAGCTGGAATGGAGCGTCGTGAGGCTCTTGCAATTCCGAGGCCACCTCCTGAGGGAGAGGGAGCTTTACTGTCCCAAGCTGATTGTCAAGATGATCCAGAAGGTGTCAATCGTGTTGATCCACGTCGTGATGAAGTTATAATCGGTGATCTGCCTCCGAATGTCCGTCGAGTAGAGGATCGGGAAGGATCTATTCATCTGGAATCACATCACGAACGAATTATGAGGGAGGAAGCACCAGCATATGAACATAGGGTTGCGTCACCATGGCGAAGTGAGTTTGCGGAGAACAAGTCATTCGATCCGCCTTACCGACCTTCATTAGCAACATTTGATTACCACAGTTCAGAAAGGAGATCTGCTGATCGGGGGTTTCCGTCACGATTTTCAAGGGAAAACGAAGCATTATGCTCATCAGCAAGAACGGTCGCATCTCCGTTCACTGATGAAATTTTGAACGTGCCGAATCCGAAGAAGTTCTCCATGCCGTTTTTCATTCTATTTGACGGAACAACCGATCCAGTCGATCACATCTACCATATTCAGTTGAAAATGGCTCTGAATACTAACAATGATCCTTTGATGTGCAAATGCTTCCCTACGAGCTTGGCTGGACTAGCTCTTAATTGGTTCAAGAATCTGGCTCAGGGCTCAATCGCCAGTTTCCAGGATTTATGCGATAAGTTCATAAGCCAGTACTACGGGAATAAACATCCGGCTAAGGATGTATCAAGCCTTTTCATAATGAAGTAGCATGAGGATGAACGGCTCCAAGATTTTCTCACCCGGTTCAACCTTATTAAAAGTATGGTAATGGAGTGTCATCCGTCCACAGCAGTCCAAGCATTTAAACTCGCAATGAATCGGGAGACGCCGTTCCACACCAGTTTGGTGGTTAATACGCCAAAGACCATGGACAAGCTGAACGAGAGAGCTGACGGTTTTGTTCGTCTTGAGGAAAAAGAGGCAGCTAATTCGAGGAAGACGTTAATTATTTCGACGGAAGAGAAGTCCAAAGCCAAGATCCGGCAAAAACAAGCTCAGTCGCAACGTCACACCTCATGGAAGGCGGAGAAAAGGCCCAGGGAGGAGGAATCAGTAACTCCACTCGGAGTCACCTTAGTAAGGCTATACCAAGAGAACAAAGATAAGTTTCGTCCTCCTTTGCCAATCAGGCAACCTCTTAAACAGAGGGATCAAACTAAACATTGTGCTTTCCATAGTGATTTTGGACATTAGACTAACGAATGTAGGAACCTAAGGAGGTAGGTAGAGATGCTAATCGCAAAGGGGGAATTTACAAGCTATGTTTAAGGTCCGGCGCAAGAGCAAAACCGCCCGACTGAGCAGATCAAGTGGAACCAGAGGCCGAACCCACACAACTCCCAACCTGTTCGGATTATAAATGCAATTCATGGTCGGCCTGAACAAACAACGGAGTCAGAAGAATTGCTCAGAATGCGGTTACGCCAGGCCCAGTTGAAAAGGAGGATTGGCAGTGTGCATACTTTGCACCAGCAGAACGCGTCCATACCGATAAAGTTTGATAGAACGGACCTGCTACGTGTTCAGATTTCTCATGAAGATCCATTAGTAGTCAGTCTGACGGTTACAGAATGCCTTGTGCGAAGAGTTCTGATTGATCCAGGCAGTAGTGCGAATGTCATGCCCAAGGTGACGTTCGACCGACTTGAGATCGAACCTGGAAAACTCAAACCCACAGGAAATCCATTGCTCGGATTTGATGGGAAGCGAGTGGAACCCATTGGAATGGTGGAATTGACAGTACAAGCTGCTGAGCGAGTTTTGACTGAAAGTTTTGTGGTCGTGGAAATTCATCCATTCTACAATCTCTTGATAGGCAGAGGATGGATTCACCGAGTTCAGGGCATTCCATCAACCTTGCATCAAGTGATGCGATGTTTGGGTCCAGATGGGACCAAAGTGATAGACATACATGGGGACCAGGTTGCAGCAAAAGAATGTTATTCAGTGACTTTGAAATCTGCTGGAAAAGGGAAAAATCCCATCCGTTCTGCCAGTCCAAAATAGCAATTACAGAAACCTCCTCCCAGCAAAGAGGGGAAGGAGGAGCCACCAGTTCTGACCACAGAACCCCTTCATGAAGTGAAGATTGACCATGAGAAGCTGGATCGAACAACAAGAGTGGGAACCAGCCTTACTGCAGAGGAAAAACTAGAGTTGACTGATTTCTTGACTCGGAATGCAGATGTATTCGCATCGAGCCATTCAGATATGCCAAGAATAAATCCTTCTGTATCCTGCCATTCCCTCAATGTGGACCCGAATGCAAAGCCAGTAAGGCAGAAGCAGAGAAGATTTGCTCCAGAACGAAACCAGATTATAGCTGAGGAGATTGATTGGCTGCTTGAAGCCGGATTCATCCGAGAAGTTCAGTACCTGGCCAGGCTCTCCAATGTTGTTGTAATGCAGAAAAAGAATGCGAAATGGCGAGTGTGTATCGACTTCACTAATCTGAATAAAGCTTGCCCAAAGGATAGTTTCCCATTGCCAA